TTTAAAAAATTATCTAATCGTTGAAACTTTTCTTCAGAGGAGCTTATCCTAAAGCCCAACATGTTCAGACAGTGAATTACTGCTGTGGTTGATATGGGGTAAACCGAGTGGACTCATCACTCAGGAACTCTGGTTTCACTTAGAGCTCTAGATAGCAGAATTTGTAAAGCCTGACTAGGTAGGAGACTCACCACTATTTGCACCAATTCTCAGATATGATTAAATATTATATTAAGACTTGGTCCAAGAGAGTTGGAAACAATGATTTAGATTTAGAAAAACATAAAAATTTAATTTATTCCCTTTGCTTTTTCAAATATTCCTGAATTAACAGGCCTATTGCCTTTTAATGCTTGTTAAAAGCTCAGAGCATGTTAAAAACCTTTTGAAGAGAAAGCTGGGCTCATTTGTCAGACATAATTTGAATCCCTTTTTACCACTTATTTGGAACTATGCCTTTTTCTGTTGTGTGTAGTGTTCCATCATGTATTTAAAGCATGTTGAGTTCCTTTTTTCTCAAATCATATTCATTTTTGCTATTTAATGTCTATTTTGATTCCTATCTATACTTGTTATACAGCTTCTCAAGAATGACTCCTGGGTTGGTATTAAATAATTATCAGAAAATAAATATCATTTCTAGTAGAAAGCCTGTGTACTGCTTAATTGCAAATATGTCACAGTTTTCTCTAAATTGTTTTTAGAATTTGCTGGTGACTGGGGCAGTTGACTGTAGTTTGAGAGGCTGGGACTTAAGGAATGTACGACAACCCGTGTTTGAACTTCTTGGTCACACCTACGCTATTAGGAGGGTGAAAGTAAGTTTTTATCTTTTCTTTTTATATGTAGCATAAAAATTTAAATTTAATCAATGAAGCATATATATAAAAGAGTGTTTTGGTGTTTAGGGATTGGAGTTATTGATCCTTTTTTATATGTGTTTTTGTTATCCAATTAATGATAATGAATATTGAAAGCTAAACTTAGGTAAAATATTTGAATAATTATTGAATGAATTGGGACACT